TCAAAGTTTCCGACTCACGGCTTTAAATAAAGAGATTAATGAAGACATAAAGTAACTTGAATGATCAAACCATGATCCAGCATGGTTTGCTGGATGTTGGATTCAGCAAATGCAATCTCTAGTTGTACGGTAGTGTTGACAGCTGTGCGTCGTATCTTCTATCCATCCAGCATAGGTGTTAAGAGCACCTGGTGTGGAAAATTAATTTCACCAAAACTCTTGAAGTTTTCTTGGCTTGGGTATGATTTATTGGCACTTTCGGATAGTGGAATTAAGTCTCCGATAGAACGCCTTCTCGGCATGCTCAAAAAGCGCATTGTCACTGACGCGCTATTTACTTAATTTTTATTTTTATTATTTATTTACTTTAATAATATTTAATTAATAAGCTTTATAACAATATTAAAAATATTGGTCAATAAAACCATGATGATCAATTGACAGAAAAGTTAGAAAATTCAGGAAAAATATGTATTAGTAGACCAAGAATCGGAATTTAGGCATATTATATCAACAGACAAAATAAGAAATGTACTAAAAAAAATTAAAAAGAAATAAAGCCCCGGGAGAAGATCTTATTGCTATAAAAGCCGCAACAATGGAAGGAGATAGATTTCTAGAGAATATGAAGAAATTGTTCACCATACGTCTGCACCAAAATAAAACACCGACAAGATGGTTCACTTACTATTTTGTTACAGAAAAAGGGAAATCCAACAGATTACGAGAATTATTCATCCACAAGCCAGTTAAACCACCTCTCCAAGTTATTCACAAGAATAGCATATAAACTGAAAACTAAATTATATTTTTATCAACCTAGGAAACAGGGTTTTAGAAAAAACTTTTTACCAACGACCAACTCCACTGCATAAAGGAGTTTATAAATAAATCCATCGAATATAACCGACCAGTGGTCCTGGCTGTCGTACCTTCGCAAATCATTCGATACAATAGAAATTAACATGTAAAAGTAACATAGATTATAGTACTCTTCCTGCCTTGTTGCACTCTATAGTCTATATCTCGTTCCGTTGTTCCTTTGCCGCAGATAATACTTCCCAAATATTTGTATTCGTAGCACCTTTTCACTTGTCTAATTTTCAAATTCGGGTCTTCGTCTTCACTGCCTATTCGCATATATTCTGTTTTTGACATATTTATACTCATCCCCCATTCTTCGTATTCATCTTTGAGCTTTCTAAGCATATAATCTGCATCTTCTTCACAGCTTACAATTAGTACTTCATCATCTGCAAAGAACAGCGTTGTTAGATAATGGTTGTTAAGCTTTCACCCCATTCCCGCACATTTTTGTCTCCACTAGTGCAGTGCTTCTTGGATATATATTTTGAATAGGGTGGGGGAAAGACAACATTATTGTCTCAAGCCTTTTGTTACTGTAAATACCCTTGAGAAAGTATTTCCTGTTTTTACAGTTCTTTGAGGACATTTATAGATGTTCAGTATTGCTTTTAGATATGTTTTACTAAGGTCCGTCTTCGCCAAGACACTAAATAAGAGTTTTAAAGGAACTGCATCATAAGCCTTCTCCAGATCTATAAATACCAGATGCGTAGGGAGGTCTCGAGCTGTTCGTTTTTCAATTACTTGTTGAAGGGTATTCAATTACTAGAGACTTACAAATACTAGAATTACTAGTTGAAGGGTATATTTCAATTACTTGTTATTAAAAGAGCATTTGGCCCATGTTTCACCAACTTGATGGAAATGTCTCCAGGCCTGGGTGTTTTTCCATTTTTCATTTGTTTCAATTCTTTTTTCAGTTCTTCTTTGTTTATCTTATGCACCTTTGAGTTTTCTGTCATTGAAATATGGTCAGGTCTTTCCATAAATTCGTGCCTACTTTCCCTTAACAGCGTCTCGTAATATTTTTCTCACTATTTTATTTTGAATAGGTATATATTTTCCTCACCTTTTCTTTCTTTTCTTATACTTTTTATGAATTTCCAAGCTTGTGTCACTTTGGTTCTTCCCACATTTAGTTTTTTCTTTTAGCGACTTCCTTCTTTGCTTCCCTGTTGAGTCTGCTGTAAATTCTACGGTCTTCTGAGTCTTTCGTGAATAGCCATGTTTGATAAGCTTTTTTTGTCTTTAATTAATTTTCCTACTTCTTCGTTCCACCACTTAGGATTTTTTTTTGTCAGCTTCTTCGTACCCCAATGCCTCTTTGGCCGCCTGAGGAATGCAATTTTTTATATCTTGATATTCTTTTTTGGCTGTTTCTCTTCGAGTTAAGTGAGTTAGTTTTGAGGCTAGTCTAAGTTTGTAGAGGATTTGTACTGATTCTTGTTTTAGGCTATCAATATTATATCTTATCTTTGTGAAAGCTGCTACCTTCTCCTGTTCAATTTTGTTCTTGTTTACTTTCCTGTAGTGTATGGTTATTTTTGCGACCACCATATAGTGGTGAGATCCGCATTCGACACTACGATACACCCTTACGTCATTTGTTTGGAGCCTTTTTTTTTCTGGTTGAATGAGATAGTCGATTATAGATTTTATCTTTTTCCTTGGTTGTTCTCAGGTAAATTTATATATATCTTTGTGCTGATAAAATCCATTCATTATTTTAAGCTGTAATGTTTCACAAAGATCAATGAGTCGCTTTCCGTTGTTGTTTATTTTGTCTTCACCATATCTTCCTACCACATTGTCTTGTAATTTTTTGCCTACCCGAGCATTAAAATCTCCTACTAGGCATATTTCTTTGGATCGGTTTACATGGGTCAATACGTCAAGCAATTTGTGATAGAATTCATCATTAACTTTTGTATCAGAATCGTCACTACGAACTAAATTATTATTACCTAATAAAAATTTTAACTCAGATGGAAGCCAGACATTTGAACCAATAATACTTAATATGGGGCTTGTCGGAAATTGTTCGAATCACTCCAATAAGCTTACTTCCGGGTTCGTTTTTTACGTTTTCTAACATTATAAATCTTTTCATTGCTGTTTCGTTTACTTTGTTGACCATAACTTGTAGAGGGTCTACACTGTTCGCAGTCAGGAAATTCATGTTATATCTAGATTATCCACAGAATAAAGTATTAAGGAATATCGTTAATGCTTCTTGGTACATCAGAAATATCGACCCACACAAGAACCTTGAGATCTAAGATAAAGTATTAAGATGGCAGGTAGTCACAAACAACGGCTCCAAAGTCATCCATCCAGCTCTTAGATAATACTAAGTTAGAAAGAAGACTCAAAAGATAAAACCAATGGAATTAATTTAAAGTGTTAACTAGTGTAAAAACAGACCAGAGTGCTGTGTTGTATGTTGGCAATAGTGCATAGTTATTAGATAATATAAGAGGACCCTATAAACTTTTAGAATTTAAGTATCTTTTAGTAATTTAATTCAAAGAAGATTTAAGTGGTACAAACACAGCTTAGCTATTTATTACAAACATTTAATTAAAGTAATAAATTTAATGGTGAGATAAAAATATTTTGACATAACAATATTTTATAAAATGGTAGTTTTTTTTTCAATAACAGTTTCAAGCTGGTAAATACAGATTTTATTAATTTCTTGTTTTTAATTTGTAAACGTATTTCAATTTTAATGAAAACACGTCTTCTACTTAAACGGTTTTCAACAAATACGTTTTTGTTCTATTTCTGTGTAGTGTTTTATATTCCATTTACGATAAGGTAAGCACAAGCGGACACCGACTAAAAAATTAGGACGTTATTTGTATCGTACAAAAACGAAAGGTAAAATCCCCCATTCAACACCATTTATATCTTCTCCCTCGACACATCCTTGAGGTAATTTTTTGTATCGGGGCTACTATCAAACTTATAGCTCCTTAATCAAAAGATAACCATCTTGAGACATGTTTTGCTCTTACAACTTAACTTATGCAAATCGGATTTTTGACAGCTAGACGTAGTGACGTTGGGCAGCCATTTGTATGGGTGTTTATTATGGAATTGCGTGCTAGAGGAGAATTCATTTATTTTAGAATATAACCATTGTGGGGAACATACAACGAGCATATCATGACTGCGTATGTTATTCATGGCAGCATAAAGAATGTTTAATTGTGACTAATAAAAACCATGAAATCAAATAATAAAAAAGATATTTAAAAAATTATTGTCAATAAATAAATTATTTTTTAAAACGTTGATTGTCATAATGATAATATTGATTTACCTGCTTCCAAACGAATTGGTTTTTTTGTTTAAAACGTATAAATATGCAGTAAAAAACAACGCACTTCTTAAATATAGAGAAATTTTAAGAAATGCGAGGTAATTGTCCGTCGCGCCGCCTAAGAAATAAAGTTGAGATCATGCATTGCACAAGTTCATCGCAAATTTTTAAGAATAAACATGCATATTGCAGCAGCAAGGTTAATAATGAATCATTGTTTTTTAGTGTAAAATGCGATGTAAGAAAGACCTTTACCGATCTGTTTAATGGATAACAATTATTTGATAGGTAATTTAGTATGTTAAAAATTATAAAAAACAAGAGGTACCCGATATAATTTTGTTCAGATTATAATTAATTAATAATTAAAAAAATACTTAAAAAATATTTTACTTAGTACAAAAATTTTATTACTATAAACCTTCTTCTTCTTTGGGTAGCTTTCACCGATACCGTTCTCGATCTTGCGCGGCATGTAATAATTCACCTTCTAAAGGCGCGTACAGACTAGCACACGCATGCGGTGAGAAGCCACGCATATGCGTGCGTACTCAAACCATTCGCGCTCAGAGCATTCGTTGAAATTATAAATCACCGTATATGTATGCGTGCTCAAGGCGCTCCATCGACCATCCATCAACCTTATGGTTATTACCGCGTCTGAGCTTATTAATTCATTAAAAAAGAAAAAAACAAAGGAAAGCGAGGTTTATTCTTGTTTTCAGCTCGATTGTTTGGTTGTCTCGACTTATTCTGATCTCATGGCCCAAGTATTTATAGGAGTCAACTAGCTCAATATCTCAATGTCTTCTACTGAGATGTTTTTGTTGTGGACTAAATCTGTCATAAATTGTGTTTTTGAAAAAAATATTTTAAGACCAACTCTTTTTGTGGCAGTATAGAGTTCTTGGAGCATTATCTGTGCCAGATCGAAGCTGTCTGCAATAAGAACGATATTATCTCCAAATTTAAGGTTATCTAAACATTTTCCATCTACATTGATGCCATTTTAGTTCCAATCTATTATTTTACGAGCGTATTATAGCAAAGTTGTAAATAATTTAGTAGACACGTTGTTTCCTTGCCGAACGCCTCTTTCAATACGAAAGGTACCAGTATCTTCGTTAAGTCTTACACAGGCTGTAGCATGCTGATAGATGTATCTGATTAGGGATATGTATCGGTGATATATATTGTGTTAGAGCTTGGAGCATTTCACTTTGATTGACCTTATCAAATGCTTTTTCAAAGTCGACAAAGACAAGTTTGTAGGTCTGTATGCGCCTTAATAAGCTAGTCTATTGACAAAGGTTTCGGAGCCATGAGTATTTATTCCTACCAATTCCTTCATTCATCGGAACTAAAGCCATTATTATCTTCGCTTTGTTCGCCATCATCTTCCGTTATTTCGAGAATATTTTGCAATTTCAAAGGCATTTTATCTCCAATAAATCTAGTTGGTTTTAAATAATCATCTAAATGCCAACTTCAGTTTTCAGGCTGGAGTTCTGTACATTCCGATTAAGTCGCAATAAGCCACACGAAATTAAAAAAATCGTTTTTTTGTTGTAGAGCTTTTTAAAATGGCAGCAGGAAGTTTTCATAAAAATGCGATTTCTTACTTCATTCACTCTGTTGCAGTCATTTACGGTATACATTTTGGTGGTAAACTCTTGAACAACATTCATTTTTTTATCAGTAACTACGTCGGCGTTATCATTTAACGTAAAAACTGTTTGATACATTTCATTTGAAAAAATATTTTGAATCGTCAAATTTTTCCTTTATTATAAAATGCTACTGTACAGTTGCAACCTGTATATGCGTGTAAAACAGGTAAGCTTTGACATAATTTGAACCCAACTTCAGAGTCAGATCGATGCAGTTGATGCAATCCAGGTGTTGGTTATGTAACTTTTTAATTACTGAAGTGACTAGCGAAATTGCGGATTGTGAAATTTTGTGCATATTTCCCAGTAAAATCATCAAAATATCAGTATCCTAAGCTCTAATTAATATCTTTGATCCAGATACAATTGTATGAACGTGAAAATAATCCGCGTATCTGATTCTTCGTAATAACATACAAAATCCAAAAAAAAATGGATCATTATAATCTTTTCTTTCTTATTATTTTTGCTTGCGTTCTTTATTACTGCGGTAAACATATTTGTCTAATTCTTTCCTATTCTAGTTGACCCAGGTTTTTGATATTCTACTGTAATCAGATCTATAAAACAAGCTCCTCTTTATCTTTTTATATTGAAGATGCTTTAGGTGGCCCTTTTTTTCTATTAATAGGCTTTTCTATTAATATTCATATTGCTTTTATGTTATCAAGATGTGCAAAGAATGTCCTGCTTATAATCATATTTTTTTACTACCAAAATTAATGAAAAATTGATTCCCCGTTATCATTGATTTTTTTTATTGAGTGAGTGTTTGCCGATTGTTCCTGAGAATGGTTCTTTGTTGCCAATTTGAGAATTAAAGTTACCTAGTAAAATCTTGATGACATTTTTTGGAGAATTGTCACACGTTTCTTCTGATCCACTGCTCGTAGAATCTAAATTTTCAGAATCTCTTATTCATTACTAGGAAAAAGACAATGTATTCAATGATATTATTAATGACAAAGGTTACTCCAAGTTCTTATATATATATATATATTTATAAATATACAGTCCTCTCTCTATAACGATATGCAAGGGACCGGGAATTTTCATCGTTATAAGGAGAGATCGTTATACAGACAGAGACAAAATTCGGTACTGAAATATTAATAATACTGTATTAAATAACCTATTTTAATTTAAAAAATTTATCAAAACGAACATAAAAGAATTAACACTGTATTGTACACTACATAGATTTATTAAAGAATAATATAAACAATACAGTATAAAAGAATAACTGTAGAATTAAAACATGTGTACTCTTCAATAACAAAATAATGTGCTACTGTAAAACATATTTAGTCTACATTACCAAAAAAGTCTGTGGCTTAGGCCTTTTTCCCTTTCCACAGAACTGACCTGACATTATCCTGAAGATGCATAAAATCTTCCACAGCATTTATTTCGTCTTCCTGGTGGATGAAGAATCGATGCAGTACTTTTGCCGCATCCGATGCCTGCTGAGGGTTCGGAGCTGGTACTGGCTCTGCTTCCATCTTCGGGTCACTCTTTTCTTTTTCATCTACACGAATTGCTTGTAGGATGCACTCGGCAGAAAGTCCAGAAGTTGTAGCTACATATTGATCAACGTCTTCTTAATCTGTTAGCTCTTTCCGTCCGTAGGTAGGTGATGGTAAGTTCAAACTCTCTGGCCCAAACATCTAATGGCAGGTCATCTTCATCATCAGTTAATCCTGGATCCTCCAGCCATCCTGCGTGTTTGAAGAAATGTTTTATTGTATTGCTCGTCACCTTGTCCCAGGATTTGCTAATCATTAGGATGGCGTCAAGAATGTTTAGTTTGAGATCACCATTGGTCTTAACCAATTCAATGAGAAATTAAAAGTTTTCTACTGTAATGACTTTTCAAACTCTTAATAAAACTTTGGTCCATGAGCTGAAGGATACTCGTTGTATTTTCTGGCAGAAAACTAAGTTCAATCTTTTAAAGATCGCACAGTACAGAATGAGCAGGAATACTGTCTACAAGCAGAAGAATTTTTTTCCCTTTAAGCTCGATATCCCACTTTCTTATTGCTTGTTCAAAAATTTCCAAAGTTATCCACACACTCTTGTTTGCTTTATAGGTCACCGGTAGACATTTTTTTATGTTTTTAAAGCTACGTGAATTTTTCCACTACCCTATCACTAACCAGTTTCGCTTTACCGAACCTGTGATGTTAGCGGCCACTAAAACTGTGTTCCTAAAGAGCTTTACATCAACGTACTTTTCCGATTTAAATTTTAAAGTTTTGTTTGGTGTCATTTTAAAAAATAATCTAGTCTCATCATTGAAAATGTCGTCTGACGCATATCGTGCCTTCAGTCCAGGCCACACGTTTTCTAGCCAAACATCCGTTACGTTTTTGTTAACATCGCGAGCCTCTCCGCTAATTTACCCGTAGTTAATCTTGTACCGCAGCTTCTACTTGCTCAGCCAATCCTCAGATGCATTGAAATTCTCAATTCCAAACTCAGTTGCAAAAATATCAGCTTTTGTCCTGGCTACAGGCCCAGAAAGTGGAATATGGTTGATACGCTGCTGCTGGAACCACTAAAGCATAGCGAAATCTAAATCTTCGTGCTAAAGTTTCCGCAACTTCTTCCTGCTACCACCTCTATCTTCGTTTTAAGCCACTTTTTTCTGTCCTTCCATATCGTAGCCACAGTTGACTGAGACATCCCCGTAAGGAGAAATGACATCCGATTGCTTTTCACCTTACTCCATTGTTCGAGTTATCGATAACTTTTTCTCTACCGAGAGCACTTTACGCTTACCGCCCGTACAATAAAAGCGAGTCGCTTAACCCTCTAATAAGAATGACTATAATTGGTGGCTGCATTCCTTAAGCACAAATTAAAACAACCGTTGAACAATGACCTTGCCACTCGTGACTCAGGTAGTCTAAACTTTAAACACAATAACACATTTGTATCGACCATTGAACGCTAAAAAGTCATCTCTATAAAGAGAGAACGATATCGGTATAAAGAAAGAATCAATACATTGTCCTTATGAAGAACCAACCAACGTTTACTATTTTTATCCTTATAGAGTAATTATCCTTATCCTTATAGGAGGATCGTTATAAAGAGAGACTACTGTATATGTTTATATGTTCAGAAAGTCGTTAGTACAATTAAATCTAAAACTAAGATTAACATTATTATAAAAAATAAAAACTTTCCGGGTTGATTATCATTGTAGCATCCTCTCGAACGTATTCTTTAGGGCTTCTGGGATCTAAGCCCTTACTGTACTGCTCACTAATCACTGAATTACTGATGTGATTAAAGAACAGTGTATTAGTGTCTGAAGGTTTAGGAGACAGATATGTATATCCATCTACGTATTCTATCTCTGACCCTTAGATCTTTATCATAGGTTTGTCGTCTTTGTTTGACATTAGTTTAGTTTTGCTGAAATTCATTTTCAGTCCGTGTTTAGGGATTCTGTGTGTAGCTCATGAATCATCGTATTCAGTGCATTCTTGTTTCGACAGTTGTCTGTACAGTTGTTTGTACAGTCTTGTTTAGATTCCATTACCCAATGTTACTATCATTTCAGCTTGTTCGTAAATATTATGTATTAGTATTCTGTACCTGGAGTCGATGCGGTTGTTGACTTATGCTTTTTCTATTGCCTACAGTTCTACGCTATTAAAAGCTTTTTCATAATCTATAATAATAATAGTCTCCCGTTTTTCATAATCTATAAAAGTCAGATATAATGAGAGATTGTATATGTTAGTCTTTTCTATTAGGATTTTTAAAGTGTATAGATGGTCACAGGTGCTATACCCTTTTCTAAATCCGACTTGTTCTATTCGTTAATATTCATCATATTTTTGTTTCCGTTTTGTAAAGTTGTGAAAGAAGTAAAATTGATCGATAATTTTTCAGATCTGTGGTATCTCCCATATTATTATTTATAATAATATTAATTTTATTGTTTTATATAGTATTATACTACTTACTTGCACGTTCGAGAATTACGAAGGATAAATTCAATTATATAAATAAGTCCGGATCTGAACTGTAGCATTACTCATAATCTTGAACACGGGCTGCAGGCACTAAATAATTTCCAACACCGGAACAATGTTAAATTTCCTAGAATTCAATTCTTTACTATAAATGGCTGATTTATGTTATACAACGAGTTCTTTTTTATAACAGTAGTTTGTAAAATATCATAACTGTTATAAAGAAAATAAAAAATTTTAATAAATTTTGAAGTTTAAATACAGAAAACAAATTTTGCCAAAAATTTAAATAAAGACATTTGATTTTTAAAATGTATTCCGGACCGTAAAAAATCCTCTTCGAACAATAACCAGAGTGCGATGACAAACAAGTCTTCGGTATGGAATATTTAAGGACACTGCATAGAAACATTAACAAATATTTCTGGAATGACTTGATGGCACTTCGCGTATGCCGCTGGTAAATAATCAAACTCCGTGTGAAAAACTGACTTTATTTAAATTAAAAATACACGATTATAAACGCTAATATATAACGACCGTCAATTTATA